GAGTGATCCACTGTGTCAAAGGGTTTCTTTAAATCCAGAAAAACTGCTATAGATGGAGTGCTTGAGTCTAAAGATTCATAGATGGTTTTTGTTAAAGAATGTATTGCATCTTGTGTAGATTTATTATCTCTAAAACCCATACTGCGATGTTGACAGCAGATTATATTTGGATAAAAAGGCATTTAGTCTAGTTTTTAAAATTCTTTCAAAAACTTTGCTAACTGATGACAATAACGAGATAGGCCTATAATTCGTGACATTTTCGGTATCTCCACTTTTAAATATTGGGGTTATTATTGAGTTTTTTAGAATTGAGGGAAAGTAGCCTGTTTCAACTGATTTATTAATGATGTCTGTCAAGGGTTTGCTTATAGAATGTGAAATAATCTTAACGTTTCAGCTTTTATTCCATCCTCCCCAGGAGATTTATTATTTTTTAAACCATGTATGGTGTTTTGTACCTCAGTTATATTTGTAGGGTTAAGAAAAATTGAGTTATTATTAGTAGATTTTTTACTTTTATAGTTTGGATTTTTATTTATATTTTTTGCTAAGTTTTGTCCTACATTGGCAAAGAAGTTATTAAATATATTTGCAATTTCATTAGGATCTGTAACAATTTCATTTTTTTTTTTTTCGTTTTTAATGTTATTTATTTGTTTTGTTGTTTTAATACTTAATATTTCATTTACCGTGTTCCAAAGTTTTTTACTTGATTTACTTGATTTACCCGATACTTGGTTAAGGTTAAGTTGAGCTATATAAGTCGACGAACCTGACGTTATACGTTAATGTTATCAGTTGATAGTTATTGTAAAAGTTGTGTTGAAATAAATTGAGATACCAAAAACCAGCGTAAGGTGACAGCGGTGGAATTTATAAAATAAAAGTTACCCAAGCATTCTATTCATGACAAATACTAGATCCACTGCGCACGAAACAGATATGGATACTTCAGGCCCACCAGCATGGTTTTTGAAGATGGATGAGGAGAGAAAAAGGCGTCAAGAGGAAATAGAAAGGCGCAGAACAGAAGAAGAGGAAAAGGAAAGGCGTAGAAAGGAAGAAGAGGAGGAAAAAGAAAGGCGCAGGAAAGCAGAAGAAGAGGAAAAAGAAAGGCTAGAAGAGGAGAAGGAAAGGCACATGAAGGACGAAGAGGAGGAGAAGCGATTGAAATTATGAACGGTTTGCTACAAATCCAGGAAAACTTTCAAGCAAGAGGTTGGTCAGCTTAACAATAAAGTAGATCTTTTGGCACAACAACAAGAGTTTTTAAAAACTAATGTAGAACAACAGCAAGAGAAGTTAAAAACTAATTTGGAGCAACAACAAGAGCATCTAAAAACTCATTTAGAACAGCAGCAACATAATTTAAAAAGCAATTTAGAACAACAACAAGAGAATTTAAAACAACAGGAAAGGGCAAGAGTAGAGTTAGAAAGGCAAATTAGAGCTGAAATGGTAGAGTTAGAAAGAAAAATTCGTAGACTAGCTTTGGTTAGCAACAAAGAAACTTCAAACACTACCTCGTCCTTATCTGCAATCGAACCAAGCCATATTCAAAACCCAGTTTCACAAATCCCTACCAGCAAGATCATTAAGCCACCCATGTTTGACGGTGAGACAACATGGGAAAACGTATCGCCAATTTGAAGCTGCAGCTAGAGCCAATGGCTGGGCTGCAAAAGAGATGGCGGCTACATTGATAGTGTCACTGCGAGGACAGGCAGCAACCGTTTTACAGTACCTTCCCCAAGAACTCAGTTATTCATCTCTCGTCCAAGCTTTGGAGACAAGATATGGCCAACAGCATTTGAAACGAGTATTACAAAGCCAGCTAAAGGCTCGTAGTCAGAAACATAATGAGAGTCTACAGGAATTCGAGGCCAACATAAGAAGATTGATTCATCTGGCCTATCCACAGGCGCCGAAAGATTTCCAAGAAAATCAACGACCTGATCTACCGCATTTAGCTGTCAGCGGGAAGTAAATCCAAAGTAATTTACATTGGAAAGTTAGCGCCATGCCGTGGTCCAGATCCTCCTCCGTTAGCTCAAACCAGGTCCCAGTAATCAATCAATATCTAGAGAGGAGGGAGCAATGTTACTCAGCACCCTGCAGCGTGGTGCGGTCGTCATAAGTAAAGGCACGAGTCAGTCAGTTTTATGACAGACGTTATACGTTAATGTTATCAGTTGTGTAGTTGATGTAAAAATTGAGTTGAAATTGTTAAAATAAATTGATATACCAAAAACTAGCGTAACAATATGTTTTAAAGGATACGCAATTTGGCATGCTATTTCTTTTAAGAGGACCTCTAGTACTTCATCATACATATTTTTTATTCTCAAGATTTTTATTGTTCTTATGATCTCCCTAGGTGATGTCCCTTGGTTGTTATTATATTGTCATAGTTCATTACTTCATCTTGTGCAAGGTGCAATGTCAGGGCAGGCAGTAATGAAAATATGATTTGTCATGTTCAGGATATTCAAGATATCTGTCGTTCCAAAGCTGCATCTTTCCTACTATTTTCTAGAAAGAAGTTTTGTCTTGGTGTTATTTCTTTTACAAGTGACCAAGTGGTTTTGCTTCTATTATCAGATTTTTAGATGAACTTTTCCAGAGACATTTAACGGATAAGGGATAAAGGGTAAGGGATAATGGATATCTGATAAGGGATAACGGATTAAAGGTAAGTTCGTTTCGATAAAATCGGAGGAATCGTTTTCTTGAAGACATATCGCATACAGATTCGGATTGGCTATACATATTTATGTACAGTGTGTAATCGAAATACGACCGTTTCTTATCTGTTTTCATCAACGGATGTCATCAGCAGGGCATCGACTTGCGGAAGTCGATGATTTTATACTTAAACTAAAACATAACATATAAACCTTTTTCTATTTTAATAATAATAATAATAATAATAATAATAATAATAATAATAATAATAATAATAATAATAATAATAATAATAATAATAATAATAATAATAATAATAATAATAATAATAATAATAATAATAATAATAATAATAATAAATACTCTCCCTAATTCACCCCCTTACGAGTTAATTTCAACCCCTGAAGTCGACTGAACGACTTGTGTAGGGGAAGGGACGGCTATTATTATTATTTGCCGTGGCGCTCCGGGGCGACTTAAAGATGATTGATGGTGCCATTTGACTTACAGGTGAGGAAAACCCGGAAAACCTCACCCACCATCATCGAGACGGTAATGTATGGCGAATTTTTTTAATCTGTATGTCATATCAACAGAAATTGAATTTCTATTAATACGCCACACATCAAATCCTAAACCGAACCATGCAATTTAATTAAAAATCCACATGGTCTGGTCTGGGATTCGAAACCCAGCAGTCTCAGACTCATAAACTTGCCTATAAATAGGTCTTTTCCTTTGCATCGAAAGTGTAGCACTGAGATACGTCACTTCTGAAAATATCGTTCTATCCATACATATTGTATAAATGGAACGATATTTTCAGAAGTGGTGTAGCTCAGTGCTACACTTTCGATGCAAAGGAAATGACCTAATGAATATAAGCGCGATAGACCGCTACACCACCGTCCCGATTTTAGAATTACATTTCCATTAACGTTATAGGGAAATTGGGACTTCTATTTAGAACAAGAAATATATACTTTATTAATCATCCCATTACCAACGATGCTCCATCCTGTAGTAATTACTAGATTTTTTTTATCGAATTTGGGGAATTT